ACTGCCCGTCGTCCTTGCCTGCCAGCATTTAGCTTTAGCAAAAAAATGTTAATTCAATAAAAGTTTTGAAGAATTCCAGACAAGTCAAGCATAATTAGAAACAATAAGTCTTTGGTATCTAAAAGCATAGTGCTAGCTATTTGCTAAACGACGACACCAACTTTCAAAACCTTGGTATGACAAAGATTGTTATACTATGAAAAAAACGACCAAAGTAAGTTTACAAAGATGTAGGAACTCAAATAACATACACGACCGCCAAAAATATATTGAGGCTAGGAGGGAATATTTTAAGCTCCTGCAAAGAAAAAGAGATGAATTCAACAAGGACAAGAATGAAAGGATAAAAAACGCCAAAGATCCCAAATCCTTCTGGAATGCCATTGCATCCTTCAGAAAAAACCAATAATACAAGGAGAGATTGATATAAAAGAATGGTTTTTATTTTATAAAAATTTACTGAACAAAGAAAATAAAGAAGCTACTTTTACGTTAAACCAGATGATCGGTTGGAAAGATCCAGATTTAGACGCGGAAATAACCCTTGAAGAGATCCATGATGTAGTAAAAAATCTAGCGAATGGCAAAGCAGTGGGACTCGATGGTATACCAAATGAGTTGCTAAAGAATTTACCGATACCGACTTTAACTAAATTGAAAAACCTATTCAACAAAATAATGTCCACAGAAAAATACCCGCAACTCTGGACGAACTCAATAGTACACCCTATATATAAAAGCGGTGATAAGAATAACCCAACAAATTACAGAGGGATTGCCCTCTGCAGTAATATATCTGAATTATTTACTACAATACTAAGAAACAGATTAAACAACTGGATAGAAAAAAGAGAGATTATTTTAGAAAACCAAGCAGGTTTCCGTAAGAACCGATCATGCACTGACCATATAATACTATTGAATTCACTCATCCAATTATCTCTGAGAAGAAAACGAGGCAAGCTATATGTCTTCTTCGTCGAGTTGACTAAAGCTTTCGACACAGTCCCACATGATTTACTTTGGCAAAAATTGCATAAAATGGGCATTAGCAATAAATTTGTAATGCTGATAAAAAACTTTTACCAAGAAGCTAAGATTACTATCCGATGGAAAGGACAATATTCAAGTAATGTGAAAATTAATTCTGGAGTGTTGCAGGGAGAATCACTTTCCCCACTTTTATTTATACTATATATGGCCGACCTTATAGAACTTTATAATAACTCAGCACTTACAGGATTTCATCTCCCTGATTTTGGTGTTTTACACCTACTTATGTATGCGGATGACATAGCCATAATTGGAGAATCGAAAATTAATCTTCAAATTAAAATCAATTTACTAAAGTCTTACCTGGATAAGAACAAATTAGTTTTAAATGAAAATAAGTCCAAAATAATGGTATTCAGAAATGGAGGAAGACCGGCAAGACACGAAAACTGGTACTGGGGTGACACCCCACTGACTGTTGCGTCCAATATTACATATCTGGGGGATATCCATTCACTTCCACTAATAATAGCAAAAAGGTAGCCCTCTTTTAAAAAGCCAAAGCAAATACGGCAATAAATGCAACTATTAGACTGATAAAAAAAGAAAAAATTAACTCATTAAAAGTTGCACTGAATCTATTTGACTCAGTTATTAAATCAATACTGCTCTATGCGGCCCCTGTGTGGGCTTGGGACAATACGGATATTATAGACCAATTACAGAATACGTTTATGAAAAATTTTCTGAATCTACCAAGATATATACCAGGGTATATTGTAAGGCTGGAAACAGGCAGAATATCTCTGACTTTTACAACGATCAAATTAATTTTGAAATATTTCATTAGATTACAAAAAATGGAAGACAATAGACTACCTAAGTTATGCTGGAATAGATTGAAGGAAATTTCCTTAATGACAAAAAAACCTATAGGATTCTGTAAGAATATTATGGATATCATCAATCATTGTGGACTCACATGGCTAAACTATAGGTTAAATTATGACGACATACAGATCGAACTTCCGAATATAATAAAAATAAAAATTGTACAGCTATTGCAGCAAGATTTGGCAAAATTATCTCTTACGAAAACATACTCAAACTATAGGTTACTTTATGATTCATTTATTCCAGAACATTACTTTTCATGCAATTTGTCTTCAGCTTTAGTGAGTTTTATTGCACAGATCAGATTAATGTCAACAATGATCAAAGAAAATCATATTTACGCAATTAAGAAGGAAGATTTGTACTGTGGGTTATGTGGAAGTCAGATAACTGATGAAATATACCATTTTGTTGCTGAATGCGGGGATCTGGAAGGAGAGAGAAAAAAGATCCTGAAAAGTCTTCCTAGACCGCATTTGAACTCAATAAAACTAATAAAAATTGTTTCAGATAAGAAAAGTTGGGCAATTGAACTGTTCAACTATCAAAAAGCGGTTAGAAATAAAATTGCACTCGTGGAAGAGAGAAGAACAGGGGCACAATAAAAAGTCACCCTGTTTGCCATACCTTAATTGTAAATACTCTATCTTTACCTGTCCTCTTAAGTTTAATATTGTCTGTAACTCCACGGGGAATCCGTACAGGGCTAGATGCCCTAATAAAGTTGTTTTGTTGTTGTTGTTGTTGCATAGTGCTAGCTTATTGGAATTAGTAAACTGCTAATATAAATTGTAGGAAACCGTATCTCAGATCCTACCTGCATTGAAACAGTTTTAAAAATGTATAAAGCTACTTCGATGACCCCTACTCTTGCACATATTAAAACATTTTTTTGTGTATAAATAAATAGATGACACTTTGTGATTGCAACCGTCGAATTGCTTGAGGGTGTGTAAATATGAGGTTCACTAACTTTATAATTAAATTCAAAAATCAAATATGATTATCAGAAAATGTATTAAGGTACGTAGAATTAGAAACGACTCTAAAAGACACATGTATGAAAAGATAACCATTTTATAAGCACACAATGTCGCTTTTTAGAACAGATTGTTTAGGCAGACTTCTTTGTTTGCTCGCGAACGACAATGCTGACATGTTAGGTGTTTATAGCACGAATTGGGGATCTATAGATTTGTGTGAAGTTGGCCTACTGAAATGTTTTACAGTAACAAATTGGTTGTTTGAAGAGTTACCAGTAATTTTCACTAGAGCCTTGGCACCATTATAGCTTTGCAGATGAATCGATTAATATTTGATGATGATAAAGAGCAAAATTCAAGTTAGCGAAATAGAGCTGTTTATTTTTTATTAAATGAAAATATTGTGAATTTATGTCCTATAATATATTTTGGAGCTATTAAAAAAAGATAAATTCCTTATCAATAGGTCGAATGGATTTAAATCAAAATATAACGATTTACAAAAGGAAAAGTGTCACAGAAATAGTATAATTTACTTATAAATGATCTGGCTTTTTGAAAATATTGTAATTATTCATTAATTTTCTTAATGTATAAGAAGTTAAACTATTAAGCAAGAATCCTTTCCTTTTAAAGGAACACTCCTAGAGGTTTTACAGTTCAATCAACCATTTTATAACTATTCAACTTATATTTAGAGCTCTAATATCGTATTAGAGATTTTGAATATATATCCAATACTGTTTGGATAATCTTGGTTATGTGTGGTTTACGAGCAAACTATGGTGGACATATGGTTTGTAGACAAGATAATTGAATAGCATTATTTGCATCGAGCAAATCATTTCCGCAAATAATTCATAGAAAATCAGTCAGACACTATTCTCGTTGAAATAATTACTTTATTTGATAAAGAGATATTCTTGCATTATAGCTTTATTCATAAATATATGAATATATATAGGAATATAACAAAATATTTCAAAAACTTAATTCTGTTGACGTTATGTGGCGCTGAGTTTGTTGCTGACACACATTAATATGCTATAACACCTTGATAAAGGTTGGAGTTCAGCCAACTGAAATATTGGTAAAATAAATGATATTTATACGAATAAAAATAAAAATAAGACGATAAGAGGAGCTTATTTTATAAATTTTAATGCGCAAGCTTTCGGACAAGACGTCCTTCTACAGGCATGGATAGTGGTAATACTAACGAGAGTATAACCTAACATTGAGCCATAATAAAGAGGACAATATTTACATAAATATATCTGTAAAAAACTAAAAGGAATTAATTAAATTTATGACTTAGAATTTGCATGTATGAGATTGGAGAACTAAAAGAAAAATTAAAATTTGAATTGAGAATATAGAATTAAAAATACAATTTTTTAAATTTACATGTATGACATATATTTTACTACGGTATAATCTAAAAATTAAATATAGAAATTAAAATATATACAACTTAGAGATCAATAAGATTGGGCTAGACACCAAGATACAGAAGACAGGGGGTCCCACCTACATGTGTTTAAAATGGAACAAAGTAGTAAATGATTATTTGTAGAGAAAATGGTATATATTATAAGAGACGGGGGCGTATGATTATAAAACAACTTAAAGTTTCACCGCATAAGTTTCTTTTTCTGTGAAAAATCAATATTTATTTCAAAGAGAAATATTTACTATTTCTAACTTTTTTGGATGAAGTATGAAAGGGTGAAAATATGAAGAGTAATGGCGAACGAAAAAATAAAAGTGTCCAGGGGCGGGAATCGAACCCACAACCTTCCGCTTACCGGGCAGATGCCATGTCCACTAGGCTACCCTGGACGTATTTTTCCGTTCGTAAAGCCCGGTAAGCGGAAGGTTGTGGGTTCGATTCCCGCCCCTGGACACTTTTATTTTTCCGTTCGCCATTACTGTTCATATTTTCACCCTTTCATACTTCATCCAAAAAAGTTAGAAATAGTAAATATTTCTCTTTGAAATAAATATTGATTTTTCACAGAAAAAGAAACTTATGCGGTGAAACTTTAAGTTGTTTTATAATCATACGCCGCAGTCCCTTATAATGTATTATAAGTTACTTTAAGTATTATTTACGAACGGAAAAATACGTCCAGGGTAGCCTAGTGGACATGGCATCTGTCCGGTAAGCGGAAGGTTGTGGGTTCGATTCCCGCCCCTGGACACCTTTATTTTTCCGTTCGCCATTACTCTTCATATTTTCACCCTTTCATACTTCATCCAAAAAAGTTAGAAATAGTAAAAAATTATCTTTGAAATAAATATTGATTTTTCACAGAAAAAGAAACTTATGCGGTGAAACTTTAAACTGGTATATGTCTGGGATATCTATTTTTATATTAATGCTGTTGATTTGGTTGGATATGATTGATTTTAAATGAAGTCTATTGTATTTATTGTGTATATTACGGTATAAGATTTTTGGTTGATCTAAATTAAACTGATGACCTGTTTGTGCTGTGTGTTGATATATTAATGATTTAAGGTCTTTATTATGGATATTGCGTTTGTGTTCGGTTAGTCTGATATATGTCGTTTTGCCTGTCTCACCCACATATGTGGATGAGCAATCTTGGCATGAGACGACATATACTGCTCCTGTAGAATGTATGGGAAGGTTAGGATTGTCAGCTTTGGTGATTGGATGTCTTAATATGGTGGCTAAACATGGAGAACTATGGTAGTATACTTTAATGCCAAAAGGACGGAGGATTCTGGATATTGCAAGTGATGAAGTAGTATATGGTAGGAAACAGGAAGCTCTGTGTATAGTGGTGGATCTTGAGAGAGATGGATCATAAAAATGTCTATAAATACCAGGTCTATTAGTATGCAACGCGAAATATTTTAGTGAATTCAAAAGTTCACCAATTCCATACAACAAAATATTTTATATTCAAAGTAATTGCCCTGATTAGCTATACATTCGGACCACCTTTCAGGCAATTTTCGAATTCCTTGTCTGAAAAATTCTATTCCTTTTGAGTCGAACCAGTCAACAAGCCATTTCCGGAGTATGTCTGAGTTCGAAAATTCCTGTTTTTTTAGGTCGTGTCCTAAAGATGTGAAAAGGTGGTAGTCCGACGGCGCTAAGTCTGGTGAGTACAGCGGGTGGGGTAAGAGTTCCCAGCCCAAGTCTTTTATGGTGTTTTTGACCACCGTAGCATTGTGGGCTGGAGCGTTGTCATACTGCAGTATCAGCTTGTTGTGCTTTTCACGCCATTCCGGTCTTTTTTCATTCAACGCCTCTCTCAAACTGTGCATTTGTTGTTCGTAGCGACTAGTATTGACCGTTTCGCTAGGTTTCAGGAGCTTGAAATATACTACGCCGGTCTGGTCCCACCATACTCAAAGCATTGTCTTTTTCCTAAGCGATTGGGCCTAGGCTTCCGTTTTGGAAATTGGCCGAGCAGGCCCCACGACTTTTGGCGCATAGGATTGCTGAAGTGGATCGATTTCTCATCAGAAAATACGATTCGGTGCAAAAATGACTTTTTTTCATGCCTGGCGAGCAGCCCTTCGCAGGTTACCAGACGTCGTTCTTGCTGCCTTTCGCTCAACTCGTGGGGGACCTATCTGGAAAGCCTTTGGGTCATTCTGAGGCTGTTTAAACGTAGGGAAACAGAACCTTGAGACACCTGGAGCTGTTTCGCGAGTTTCTCCTGCGTTTGGGTACTGTCGTCATCCAACAAAGCTTGCAGTTCAGCGTCCTCGAACTTTTGGTGCGGTTTTCCACGCGGTTCATTATCAAGTTCGAAATCGCCACTTTGGAATTTTTTAAACCACCTGTAACACTGTGATTTGCTCAGAGCGTGGTCGCCGTGAACTTCCTCGAGCATTCGGTGGGCTTCAGTGGCACCTTTCTTCCAGTTGAAGGCGAACAACAAATCTTCCCGCAAATGGGCACTTTTTGGCTCGGAAATCACCATTTTCCACGGGCTCCAGAAATTTTCCACGATTTGAATTTTTCTAAAACTCCACACATGCTGATGCCACGTGGGTCAAAAAAACAAAATGCCTTCAACAGCGCCACCGTCGGCTCAAATAAAGTTGCACAGCGCCCTCTGGCAGCCATTTTCGCGTTTCATACTAATAGACCTGGTAAAGGGTCTAGGATAACCTGCTTTAATTAAAATGGAAACTATTCTGGCTTTTTCTATTGTTTTAAATATGGTTAGGGAACAATGAGTGAAAATTCTCTTTGATAATGTCCTGACTGTATTAATTTTATATGCGACCGGACTATTGGAGGAGAAATGGGTATACTGCGGTGGAATGGTCTTCTTATAGTATACAGTAGAGTGGAACTTATTTGGAGTACGAATGATTAAACTATCCAAATAATGTTAAAACAAAATTTTGTTGGCAAGTACAAGCGTCACTTCAAATGTTTTTGCAATCAATATTAATTGCCTTTTTAAAAAAAGAAGCCTACCTTTCTCCCGTCAAACTATGCCTCATTTATTGATGAGTATTAACATTGTATTTCGCCAAATCCGCGAATACAGTCCAACATGCATCTTTCAGATTTTCTTCTAAATTTACTTTTTTTTTAAATAATTGATAAATTTTAGTCGAACCAATTCATTTAGGAAACTATGGCTGAAAATTTCGTTGTCATGGTTGAAACCACACGACACAAATAGGAATCAATTTACCCTAATATAAATTTATTAAAATATGGATTTTTTTTTCATAATGTTCTTTTAAAAATTTCCAATAAATATAAATAAAAAAATAAATTAGATCTCTATTTCTAATTGTATATAATAGATTTCTTTGAACATCACAAATCTCTAAATTCGCCATCCAATATATTATATTTGAAAATATTTTCAAATATTAATCAATAGATGGTACTCTAAAATATTTATTAAAGGTTTCACCTGTAATTAATTCGCGGGAGGTTCGATATAAACATTCGTCCCCTGACTTATAATTTTAAAATATTTAATGTTCCTGTTGAAGGGCATCATAACCCGAAATCTAGAGAACTAAAATTGTGTGCAAGATATTTAGCCCTAGGTACTTTTTTTGTATTTTTAAATTGTTCGATTTATCAACTTCTAGTTATTTGTATGTGTTATGGCAGTCCTAGAATCTTTGGTTCTCTCATATTTCCCGGAAATATTCTTGACATAAAAAAATAAATTGATTTTTACCCATTATATGAACTGAAAAGAGTAATACATTTGATGATGGGTTTAGAGATTAAACTATTGAAAGCCTGGGAAAATTCATCACAGATTATTTTAGACTCTCCCATATAATATCTTTACTTAATGAATGTATAAATGTAAAGAACTCTATAAATCAAACTATTATGCCTTCATTTCATCAACAGATACAATAGGAATCGCTGGATGACCTGGTAAGCACCAAGAATGAAAGTATAAAGATTCAGATGGAATTCTATTTTCTATAATTACAGATTCCACCCTATATGTAGCCTTAGAAACATCGTTGAATTTTTTCGAACTGACCTAGCATTTTGATTTCTTATATACATATAACTCTGATAAGGCTCATCTAGCATGTACGGTGAATTTTTAAAAAGTGTTTTCAGAACAGGTAATGAACAATTAATATTTTTATGTGCATATATGGACGCATTAACTACTCTTGATATTATATAAAACAAATAAAGCCATTGATTAATTATATAGGTTCAACTAACATTCATATAATATATATTTCAAATTTAACACATATCATACTTACTCTTTTAAAATATTATTTTAGTCACTAGAGGTTTTTCTGTCTGGGCATATACCTTAGAGATTTCATGCTGTTTTATTTCCAGTATTAATGTGTAATTTATAAAATAAAAGGAATAGAATCGAATATCAATTTTTAAGATCAAGCTATATATACAGAGCTAGAAAGTTTCAAATCAGAAATGACTTTGGAAGTTTTTCATATAATTGTTTTACCACCCTAAAATTGAAGGTCTGCCATTAGTCATTGCCAATTTTCACGATCTCTTGCCAGGATCTGAGGTGATGATATAGGTTGATAACCTTCTAAATCCTCTGCAGCTTCTAAAGCCGGGTTCAAAAATAATTCGATGCAAACACCCAACGCAATATAAAAATGAAATATTTTGGTTTAGAAACGATCAAATTGAAAAATAATTTAAAATAATTCGAGATTAAGAATAGTGGTTTTAAACCCGTCCTAGTTATTAAATGGATAGGGTGTATTTACGAATAGCTATTATATTAAGATGGTATTTGAGCCTTCTGCTTGCATAATCTTGCTCTTATATGAGATCAGTTCTTGAATTTGTGGTTCTTAAATCTAAAATAGAATACATCAGTAAATTATAATTTTTTATACTCAAGAATATTAAGGAAAATATTTGTAAATGTATATTACATAAAAATTTAACAATTTTTTAAAGATATATTGTCCGAGAACAACTCTGTGAAGTCGGCCGACAGATAGCGCCCTTTTGCGCTTTAAAATTATTGTTGTCGTTTCCCTCCGCTGGCACAAACTTTTGTAAATATGTAAAAACATTATCAAGTTCTTCTTTATTCACGTTTCAAGTCAGGTATATTATCATAAATTATTTTATCAGCGCAATTAAATCAAATAAGGATTGCGAAATACTCATGATTCAAAAAGTTAATGATAATCCTCTATCTCTCAAAAACTCACTTCTTGTTCCAAAATCACATTATTAGGTCCTGCTCAAAAAGAACATCCTAGTTTATGATATTTTCAACAATGAATAATATGTGAAGGTTATTCACATATTAAACAAAATGTTAACGCGGGATTCGAACCCGGTTCATGACTGTCGGGAACCTAGGGTGTTACCCACTCATCCACCTACCTTTTTCTCAAAACCTCAATATAACACATATATCTCTATGAAAATAGTACAAATTTGAATTTGTACTTGGATCAGGTCGATAAATTAAGAAAAAAGGCATCTCCTGATCGTGCAAATAAAAGTTGCTGATGGCTTGCGCCACTATCGGAATAAATATCAACTAATCGGTGATTTTTAATTATTCCAGAATTGGCCGTTTCTTTACGTTTCTTGATTAATAAAGAATCAAGGTACAATTTGTACCACTCTAACGAGGGCCAACAGCCCGAGACGTGTGCGTGGTTAGATTTTCTTGATTAATCAAAAAACGGTATTTGGCCAAT